CACAGAATGGCAAGTTGTGATGTATGTGAGCTGCCTTCCTAGGAAAAGAGGGGCCCAGGAGAACATTCGTGATAATGACTAATGTTACAAACTCTTGCCAGAGAATATACAGAATGCTGGCTGAATTTGAATCTGGGGACATATTTATACCAAAAAATCATGAGTTTGTTTATCTGAAATTCCAATCCAGCCAAGCATCCTGTATTTTTATTTTTTAAACCTGGCAGCCCTAGATAGCATGTGCAGGGCCTAGGCAAGAACTAGAAATTAAACTGGACGGGTCAATCTCCTTGGGCCTTTCTGCATCTTCAACCTCATCCCTCCGCCCAAGCAGAGCTGTGGCTGACATGTTCACATCTTGCAGTGGTGCCCAGTTATACAGCTCTATTTGGGAAATCACTCTTTAATTAAATGAATTCCATGATTATGGTGGTGCTGGTGAATGGGGCCCCTAGTGAATCTGCAGAGAGGTGTAGGCTTTTTTTTTTTTGAGATAGGGTCTCATTGTGTAGCCCAGGCTGGCCTTGAATGCACAGCGATCCTCCTGCCTTAGCCTCCTGAGTGCTGGGATTACAGGCATGTGCCACCACAGGGAGCTCCCAGCCTTTATGTATGAGTAACACATTACCTGTAGGGCTGTAGTCTGTGGCGGTTCTAGAGTAGAGTTGGGAGAAATGGCATCTGGTCAAAACTGAAACTGAAATGTGGTGATCCTGCTCACTCTGGGCAGCCAGGCACAACACCAGCAGAGGCAGCAGGGAAAAACACACCGTCCCCCCTTGTGGTAAATGCCTTCAGCTCTTTCCCTCTTTTTCCTCTCCAGAACTCCCAGGGAGCCAGGCATATTCAGATAGCAAATCCACCAGCCCTGTGGGCTTGTGCCGTGGTGGAATGGAAGGCACTGAATGAATCACTCTTCTCTCCAAGTCCCTCTCGGCTCTCCCTTCCTGCCCGAAGCAGGTACAGCCTGCTGGCTCCCAGGCCCAGGACTGTGCCTGTCGCAAATTAGTGCATGAGTTGGTGGAACCCTCCAGGATGGATCTGGATGCCCAGAGCTGGGGATCAAAGGTACCGTCTGAACGTGCAGGCTGTGTGGAGCCTCCTTCCTGGGAAGCCTCTGAAGCCTCCACAGCTGCCCTCTCTTCCTGGCCCCTCAGAGGTGAGGCAGAGGGGGGAAGAACAGTGGATGTAGTTTTTGGACTTTCGGAATGTTCTCAGTTACGGAAAAAATCTCATTGCAGTTTGCTTCCATCCCTGTCTGAATGAGTATCTGACATTATAGTTCCGCTGGGAAATGCAGCCTCCAAAGTGCAGATGGTGCCAGGCATGATAGCGCTTGTGGTCTCAGAACTTGGGAAGCTGAGGTAAGAGGATTGCTGCCAGCTTGGGCTGTACAGTGAGTTCAGGGCCACCATGAACTCCATCGTGAGATCAAAACAAAAAAGCAAAAACAAACCGCAGGTTGTATCAAGCGAACTGTCAAACATCAGAGTACAATCTGCTGGAGGTTTTCTTCAGTTAACAATTTATTATAAGCACAGCAGTATTATTTTAAATTATAATTTCTTTGGAAGAAGGTGGATAGCTGTTGCTAAATTTTTTGAGTTAAAATGTCCTGTTCTAAACTATAATAGGTTTTTTTCCCCCAAATATATTTGAAAAAAATAAAAACCAGCATACCTGTGTCAGTTCCCTGAATTACTTGGACATTCAACTGGGAATTTCCAGAAAATCCAAACAGCTGGGGCCCACTGGCTCAGCTGGCTAAGGGCCAAGGAGCTCCCCACGCCCTGGCAGTGGGAAGTGGAGCAGGGCCTCCCCGTGGTGCCCACCCTCCCACGCCCCGTGACCTTTAGTTGAAACACTTTGGTGGGTTCAGGCTTCCTGTTCCAAATGTGGGGACTTGCTTTGGCCTGAGCTCTCCCAGGAGTGTCCGGAGGATTGAATGGCATGCGCTGGGGAAGCAGGAGCTCTAGGAATCCGTGCACTCACTGTTCCTGAAGACAGCTGGTGCGTTTTCGATGGGAAGGGTTGAACGACCCTGCAGAGACCTGGGACAATTTCCCTGCCCTGGTATCTGGGGAAAATGAGTCTCTGCTCATAAATGTGCAAACTGTTCCCTGGCAAGGGGAGCCAGACGGCCAAGGCAATGGGCCTCCTGAGGTGCCCTCACAGGCCACTGAACTCGGGACATACCCAAAGACGGACTGCAGGTCACCTAGCACTCTCTCGGGTTTTCCCACCTCTGAAAGTACAGATATTGTTCAGTTCTCTTCACAAGGGTGTTACAGGGCAGTAAGAAAACACACTCTACTCCTAAGTACCCACTTGATAAATTATCCAGTTAATGTTTAATTCTTGCCACTTTAAGTTAAAATAATGTGATATTTTTTGGCTGGGTATGATGGCACACACCTGTGATTCCAGCCCTTGAAAGGCTGAGGCGGGAGGATCACTGAGAGTTTGAGGCCAGCCTGGGCTACATGGTGAGAACTTATCTGGAAAAACCACAACAAAACCCAGTGATTTTTATTTAACCCTTAATCCCAGGATAGCTTTCCCTAGGCTTGTACCCCAGATCACATCTGTGGGTCATTCCCCCTGTTGTAGGCTAAGAGGTGCACAGGAATGGGAAATCACATTACCATGAGCTGGAACAGCAAAGGAGGCAGATCTGGTGCTTGACCAAAACAGACATAAATACAATGTGCCCTGAACTGAAAACACAGGGCCAGGGAAGATCTGCACGCTGGTTGCCTCCCTTCTGCACAGACTTGAGAATTAACTGCAGACGAGAGCTCTTTGATCTTCAGGAACCTGAGCCATCAGCCGCCCATGGTTAGTGATCAGCAACGCTTCTGTCTGAACTTGTCTACATCTCACATGTCGGCCCTGTTAGCAGCTTTTAGTTGAATCCGGCCCTCTCTGATGCTGCAGGTTACTGTGCCACCCGGAAGGAGCTGGCAGCTTGCGACAGGTTTTAAGATTGGGTAAAATGACACCTCACCTGAAAGCCACTGTCCTGCCACGAGCACTCCCGGAAATGACCTCTGGTCGCCTGTGTTCTCTCTGGAACTGACCAGAGGCTGAGGTGAAGGCAGAGAAGGCAGCTGCAAACCCCTTTCCTGCTTGGCAGCTGGGCCAAAGCTCCAGCCACTCCCGTTTTCACCTTCCTACACTTCCCCTTCAGGCCTGACCTTGTTACCCCTGCACCTCTTAGGTGCCACGCTTCGTTTTCCAGTAGGCTGGGCGCCCCCTAGAGGGTAAGAACGGTTCTTACGCTACTCTCACTGCCCAGCACACTTCCTGCCTGGCACCCAGAAGGAAACAGATGTTAGATGAGGACAGGAGAATGACTGTCAGAAGCAGCCCTCTGTTCCCAGTGCTGTCTCCCCGTGGTCAGGTGAGAGCCACACTGAGCGGTTCAGTCCCAGCTCCCCAACCATCTCACTCTTGGTGACTAGAATTACGAATTTTGCTTTTTGGTTTTGTTGAGACAGGGTCTCTCCCTCATTATGTAGCCCAGGCTGGCCTGGAACTCATGGTGATGCTCCTGCCTCAGTCTCCTGAGTACTGGGATTACTGAAGCTCACCACCATACCTGGCTTATAATTAGACAGTTTTTATTTTCTTTCTGGTACTGGAGATTTTACTATGGACCTTGGACTTCCCAGGCAGGCGTGGCATCACTGAGCCACATCCCCAGCCCAGAATTAGGCAGTTTTGAAACTAGTTGGGAATGGGAGGGGGAAGAAGTAGAGACAAGTCTGATGGCCAGGAAGATGTCACCTATTAAGAGGAGGCCCAGGTGACTATGATTTGTAGGTCCCTGGCCCTGGGAACAAGCTCTAACCCCCTCACCAATCCACAGAAGCCAGCAGGAGCTATCAGTCTAACAAGGAAGCAGCTCCCTGATGAAAACTTCAAGATGAAAACACCCATAGGGAGGGAAGGAAGGTCAGCCAGATGTGCTTAGAACTCTTGAGGAGTTCTGAATGAGAGGGGGCCCATTGGGGCAGGGCTGCAGCAACACCCGGGACCCTGGGGAGCTCAATGTGTAAGGGGGGCAGGGCCTGAAAGGCTGGCGGGAGGTGGCGCTGGCACACAGCGCTCAGGAAGGAGGCTGGGCTCCCATCTGGATAGCTGAGGGGCCGGGGCTGCCGAACAGATGGAGGGAAAGTTGCAGCTGGTGGAAATGCACTTTCATGTGTAAAGTTTGGTCCTCGGAGGATTGCAGTTTCCAACTCAGAAGGCAGCAGTGGGCAGGCAGCTCTGCTCCAAGCTCCGCCTTCTCCTGCCTTGCCACCCAGAAGACCCGACAGAAGCTCTGTGCCAGGCCTCAGCCGCTGTGCCCTCCGCCAGCATCCTTTTCAACAGACAGGAGCTGGCACAGGACACCTTGGACTTCGATGCTTCAGTAGCTGAAGGGGGCAGGGGAATAGGAGGGACTGATCCAGCCTCCCTGAGGGGACCAGGTGGTCTGAGAACAGACGGAGAGATGGAGGGAGGGAATCGGAATTGGGAAAAGTGCATGCATCGACCTTCCAAAGCTGTTTACCCTACACATGGTCTCCTGGGGGAGCCAGCAACACGGACAAGAGAAAACCCACCAGAATGTGACACTCTGGGCTCATTTCACCCCAGCTCGAGGCACTTCTTAAGGAGAACACTTCTTGTGCTTGTCCGCCCAAGCTTTGAGAAGCGATTGCTACATGCTCTGCCTCCAAAGACAGCCCCCTGCCTCAGCACATTCAGAGTCTCATCCCCAGAACTGAGCTGCTGCCACAACCACACACTCGCTCCAAGCTCGCCCTGTCACGCACAGGCTCCTGTGGGCTCACCCACCTGGCCATACTAAGCACAAAGGAGAGGGCCATGGGGTCAGAGCATCGGGCTCGGCTCCCCTCCCTCTTTATCTGCACTGAGAACAGAGACTGCCCATGCATCTTGTTATAATCCAAGATTTTTTTTTTTTTAGAATGTGATTTTACTTCTTTTGATTTAAAAAAAAAGAACAAGACTGGAACCCAGTCCTGTATCACTACTGAGTCCATTTTCCCAGGAGCTTGGGAGATAGTCACGTAAGCATTCAAGGGTGGAGGTAGTTTCTCTTTCTAGTGGGATGTCTTCTTAGCTCCTTTCCCAAACTTGGCATCAAGACCGAGACCTACAGAAAGGAGAAAATGGGCTTAGCTCTCTGGGAGCCACATGAAGTATACCGGAGACTGGAAAGTCAGCTTCGGTTCTTCAAAACTTTGGATAATGTCTTTTTGTAATTTCTTCAGAGACAACAGAATGGCATCAAATGAAAGAAAAGAAATCATCAAGACACTGACTGGTATTCATGGATAAAATATACAGTAAGACCAAAAGAAACTTAAGAGTCAAAATTTCTAAGCTGCCAGGTACAGTGGTACACATCTGGAATCCCAGCTACCGGGGAGGCTGAAGCAGGAGGATTCCAAGTTCCAGCCCACCCTAGGCAACTTAGCAAGACTTTGTCTCTAAATGAAAAATAAAAAGAGCTGGGGGTGTGGCTCAGAGGTAGAGCAGCACCAGGTTCGACCCTCAGTACCACACACACACACAGACTTCCTAAGCTGTTTCTCTCTGCTCACCCAAAGCATCGTGAATCGGTAAGGAGTATGCATAATTCTGCCCTGCTCAGGATCTGGAAGGAAATCACTGAGATGAACTGTACACTAGGAAGGCTGCATTAGAAATAATGCTTCCTTTGCTCTTTTTTGTTGTTTTTGTTTTTTGAGACAGATTCTCACTATGTAGTTCTGACTGGCCTTGAACTCACTATGCAGCCTAGGTAATTCTCCTGCCTTAGCCTCCTGAGTGCTGGGATTAAAGTGTGCACTACTGAGCCTGGCTGCTTCTTTTGCTTTTAGGTTTTCTCTAAAATAATTAAATAAATCTTATGGGTACACAAATACATTTTAGGAAAAAAACTATCAAACTGTCATCATCCCTCTGTGTGGCCCAGAGATGATGCTCTGGGGGGCTACTTACCCAGGAACACAAGCACGGTGCCCACCCACTGCATGGGGCTGATGGGATTGGCGAAGAGGATCACAGAAGCCAAGATAGTGAAGAACTTTCGAGTTGTGGTAATGATGGAGCAGGTCAGGGGACCAAAATACACAACTGTCATGAAGATGAAGCTCTGGAAGTCAGGAAGGTGGGTCAGGTGACTCCTGGCGCCGCCCTGAGGTCCACAGTGCCAGACCTCCTGGCTGATCCTGCCACAGAGGGGAGGCCACACTGTCCCCTCTTAGGAACTCACCTGGCCCAGGGCACTGGTCAAGCCAAAGAGCAGGATGTTGTAGATGATGGCTGGGTACCTTTCGGCAAAGCCCAAGAACTCCCAGAGCTCCCCAGTGAACAGGATTCCTAAAAGGAAAAGTCCAAAGTGAAGGGTCATCTTGTGCGCACTCTCCCATCATGCGTCTTTCTCAAATGTGTGTGCATGTGTGTGTACACATACACATATAAATATTGGAGAGGGTACTGGGATATGAATCCAGAGCCTTCACACTGAGCCAGATCCTCAGACTTTAATTTTTTGAGACAGTGTCTCACTAAGTCACAAGTTTAGGCTGGGCTGGAAATTGTGATCCTCCTGGCTCAGCCTCCCAGAATGCTGGGATTACAGGCCTACACCACCAAGGCTGCCTCGTAGTATATTTTTCTGATAAGAGAAACTAAAGATTTGATTTTGCGAGAAAGGCTTCCAAGTTAATGAGTTACTTCTACCCAAGAGATTGAAAACAGGGGCCCTCTGAAGTGTGGAGATAGCCACCCACACATCTCTGGCTTAAGGACGCTCCTGGCACTGGTCACCTCCAGCCACCAGCAGCACCCTCCTTTAATCCCAGTGTGCTGCACACAAAAATTTCCTCCCTGTGCCGAGGTGAAAGTTAGGAAACTGATTTCAGAGCAAATACATTCACGTTTGAACTGCATTCAGCACACACCTAAGTCTATTTCCTGCGAGTCAATGTCTCATTTGCCTCCTGGGAGGGAAGTCTCCCACACCCCAGTGTTTTACTATGTGTGTCTTCCCTGACAGTGGGTTCAGATCTACCCCTATTGTGTTAGTAACAGGTAGCCGGCAGGTCCCGCCCCACGCAGGTTTTTCCAGGAAGTTTGTCAGGACTTGGACAGAAGGGCATAGGACCAAGTGGGACCCTTGGCCTGTGCAAGGTTAGCACTGGCAGCTGAGCAAGGGATCAACCGAACGAGAGCAGTCTGCCCTCTGGTGATCTGTGGGAAGAACAGCACAACTGCTCCTTACCAACTCCCAGCAGCAACGTCGACCAAAGATTGATGTTCAGCATCATGTGGTTGGAGCTTGTTTGGTAATGTGCTCGCATGTAGTCCTGGCAAACACCTGTCAGTCCGTCCAGGGTCAGAGACAACAGCTGGGAAGGAAAGAAAGCAGCCTGCAATGAGGTGGCTGCCAGGACACAAGATTCTCATCCTTAGGCTCCTCAAAAAGCCACTCCCTGTACCTCGCCTGCCTTGTGAGTGCAAGGTCCTGAGTTCAATCCCTGGTACCAAAAAAAAAAAAAAAACACCCTCTGAAGATGGAGCCCTCAAACAGTTTTGCCATCTGTCCCAGACGGAGGCCAGAGAGAGACCTCACTAGCCGTCCCTCCCCAGGCACTGGACTGACAGGCTCACTGAATGCCATGAACTGCGTACTGCCTTCCCGCTGGTGTCAGGGGTGAGCCATCCACCTCCTCCCACTGAAGGTGCCAACATTACTTCCTAACTTGAAGGAGAGTATACAGTGCTCAGACTGGAGTCTGTGAGCAGACTGCCTAGACCGGAATCCTGACTCTCTCACTTAAACAGGATGCAATGATGGCAAGTGACTTCACCTCCCTGGCCCCAATTTCTTGATCTTTAAAATGGAGCCGGGGATTTAGCTTAGTGGTTGCACTGCCTGCCTCACAAGGGCAAGGTCCTGAGTTCGATCCCCGGTACCAAAAAAAAAAAAAGAATCAACTCTTGGGCTGGGGATTTAGCTCAGTGGTTTCGCCACCTGCTGCACAAGCACAAGGACCCGAGTTCGATCCCTGGTACCAAAAAAAAAAAAAAAATGGAGACAATACTACTTGTGTTAAGAGACTGTTGTAAAAATTAACCAATTAATATGCAGAACACTTGGAACAGTGCCTAATGCATAAGCAATGGCTCCTATCATATTACCTTCACTGCTGGCTGTCCTGGCTCTTGGAAAGCCACAGTGAGTGCCACTGCACACCTTCCTTTTTAGCTTTCAATGATGTCACAACAGGAACTGGACACCGGGCTGAGTGATCCCTTTCTCAGCAGGAGAGCTGAGCCGGAGCTAAATATTTCAGGCTTCCCACCATGACCTTAGCAGAGACCAGAAATGGAGGCAAGGAGCACACAATCTCCCTTGAGCCCTGTAACTGGCCTCCTGCCTAGCTGGGGCTGTCTTTCGTTAAATTTGCCAGAAAATGCTGTGTTCCCCAGCAGGATCGCATACCAGGAGCAGCTCGCCATAGCCGACCACGTGTTCTTCCATCCCAACTACTTTCTTAGGTTTGTACATGAAAAGGGCCACTCCAGCCACAATTAGCAGCACACACAGGTACTTGGCCAAGGGGTACTTCTTCTTCAAGAGTGTCACCCCAAGGAGCATGACTACAGGGGAGGAAAAAAGAGTGGAATACTCAGGTATCCACAGGCATCACTGACCCCAGTACCCTCCTCCCAGGAGCCAAGAAAAGACTCAGGGAAAAAAGAATGTCTGAGAAGGAAGGTCTAGAGAAGATAAGAGAAATGACAGGCTGGCATCTAGATAAAGATGACTGAGCAACAGGGCCGAGTACAAGATGGGGGGAAAGTAGAGAACAAAGGTGAAAGGTCCAGGAAAGAATAAGGCAAGGGAGTAGAAAGAGGTTGAGAGAAAAAACTCATCACCAAAATGGAACTTAGGGCATGTAATGACTGTGCAGACACACGGAACACCCAAACTGATTGCCCATGTGCAGCAGGTTGAGTCTCTACCTCCCACTGGAAATTACCAGCCTGGGCACTGCATGGAAGTAGTACAAATGACAGATGATGGGATGGGCAGGGGGAAGGGCTAGAAGGAACTGTAAAGTTCCTGGAGAGAGTTATAATGGGATGATGAAACCCAGAGGGATACAGAGTTCTAGCAGAGGAAGAGAGCTCACTCCAGGAAAGGTGAAGACAGAAGATGGAGACCACCTTCTTCTGCTTACCTGGGATTGGCTTGCAGGATTTACCAAGGACCTGAAATTAAATTCAGCAAATAATTTCTGAGCATCTGTGATGTGCCAGGAACTGAGCTAGGTGCCACGTTAAGTTGAGCAAGTACAGGACTTATACCAGGGACCTCAGCCTCAGAAGCAGCTCTGTCACCACCCAACCTATGACCAAAGCCCAGCTGTATGGTGGTACACACTCTGAATTTCTCAAACATAGTCTACCAGCATTGTTCCTTTTTATTTATTTAAGTTGCAGATCCGAGGGGAAAAAAACCCTAGGTCCTTTTCAAACAATTTCTAAGCCAACCTTTGTCCCGCCCTGAGGTTTCACCTGAGTCGGGTAGTTGACAAACTGTAGTGCTGAGTTGCTGGAGACCATGGCACCCAGATAGGAGACAGAACAGGCAGCATTGACCCAGCTCCGAGTTCGATCCACCCTGGCAGTGTCAAAAAACTGGATCACTAGGAGAAGACAAAAAAACATACAAGAGAAACCTGGTGGGGCTAGGATGGACCACTAAGCAAAAGCTGAAGCTGTATGAAAGCAATCTGTCTGTCAAATAAGACATGAGCTATTTCTGTCTTCTTAGACTGAGAAATCTCTGAAAATGATTCAATCCTCCAATTCCACCTAACCCAACCACAAGATCACATGCAGAGAGAGGTGGAGGTTTCGTTCAGGGATAAGAGACGACTTATCCCTGCTGTTAGTCTCCAGGGAACAAAGAAAGCTTAAAACGTGTTTGAAGCTGATGCACAAAGTCAAAGGGACAAAGGGAAAAATGTTTTAAGTATTCTCAATGGGGATCTGGACCACAGAAAACCATTCTCTGCACACTTACGACTTAGATGTTGGTCTAAATTAAGAAAATAACATTTTACTCTCACTTCAAAGTCATTAGTTTTACAGCTTAAACAGAGAAGCCGTGCAAAGTAGGTGGGGGTTAGGAAACTCAGACCTCGAGGTTAAATCAACGTCTACCACCCAGAATGCTGAGAGGGGAACACCTCCCAGCAAATTACTATCTAGGTACTCACAGATCTTGGCAAACACTGCATTGATCGCACACTGGATGAAGACCAAAGTTAAGGCAAAAGTGAACGTCTCTTGTTTAGCTCCCTCCCCATACTTTCCTCTTGTTCTAAAACGAAACACAGGAGAAAGAGAGAAGAAAATAGTATATTTCACTATCATCTAGTATGCCGGGCTACTGAAAGCTTTGGAATTACCTTGCTCCTTTGGATGTACGAAGAATCGGTAAGGATAACTGGGGTCATTTACAAATGGGCCTGGGCCTGGGCCTGCCAGTGGGGGCTGGACTGGGGAATGGCTGCGCCCCATTCGGGGGTCCACTCACATTTTTTCCTGCAGGATCCCATAGTAGAAGTAACAGATAAAAACACCCAGGAAGCAGAGCGGTAGGCGCAGCCGGTCGGGCACCAGGGATTTGCTAGCGGCCATGAGACGCCCAGACGAGCCGACCGGAGACCCGCTCACAGCCGGCAGCGGGAGCGGCGGCGGCGGGGACACCTCCAAGCGGACATCGCCGACCGGCGGCAGGGGCCTCATAGGAGCTGCATGCGACCGCCACACAGTAGGGCCCAGAAACCACCTCCCGAAATGCCAGCTCTGGGTTGCCAGGAGGAAAACTCCTCAAAACCCAGAAATCATTTTCTAGGAAAGAAGACTGACTGTGGGACCTTGGCTCTGTTCCTGATGGCCAGGAGCTTCAGCTGTCTTGAGGTTGTGGCCTTGCCTGCGAGATTTTCCGATCAGGCATCGCCGAGGACAACTATAACCCAGAGTTCGGTGGGGTGGCTTAGGAGACACGTGGGCGTGGAATGATGACGTATAAGGATGTGGAGGTCACTAATTGGCTGCGCTGTGCCAAGATGAGACCGTGGAGCAGGAAAGAGGAGGTGCAGCTTGCCCGGTAAATCAAATTGTCTTTACACTGGTCAGCCGCCGGGTTTTCGCTGGGTCCTAACGCCAAGAAACTCCTAATGGCACCTCAGCGCCCTCTAGCTGCTGCCCAGCGTCGTAGCTCCGACCCGGATACATAAATCATTAAGCTCCTAAATGAGATGCCCCTAAACTCCTGCTAGGTCAGGTCCCTTGTCACTTCAAGACATTTGCAGACCTACACGTGTCCCCTAAATTCTGAGCCGTAGTTTTCCCAATCTGTAAACTAAGGGTTAATAGTACCCCCCGCCTCCGTCGTCCCTTAACTGGTTCTGATTAAACGAGCTGAGGTTTGTGAAAGTGTCTTATAAACTGTAAAGTGTCCTGTACAAGTTTAAGGTATTATTAGTCATTACTCTTTCTCAACTTAGATTTTACTTAATCACATCCTGGAGGGGGAAATGCAAGCTTATTTAAGTGAGTTTTTTTTTTCAAGGACTTCTAGTTCACCAACAATGAAGCAAACCCTTTGGGTGCGCCCTGTAACCTCCAGGTGCTTTTCCATTTTTGAGCGTCTCCTATTGATCCAAGTGTTGGATCTCCACCTGGGAAGGAATTCCCAGAGCAAGACTGACACCAAGTCTTTTCACCACCACCCAAAACTGCAGCTGTCTCTCCCAACCTTAATAATAGGCCCGGTTCTCTGGCGCCCATTGGACTGGGGGCTGCTCTTCTAGCATCCTGCTCCTCTGGCACAGCTTCAGGGAAAGGAAGGAAACACTGGGTAGCACCACACCCATTGCTTGGGGCCTGACTAAGGCTTTGGGGGCAAGCCAGACATCTATCCCCGGCCCCATTTCCTTTCTGTTGGGAGAAGGGGGAATGCCCCACACATTTGCTGCCTTGCCCTGTGGCTTACTTTACTCAATCACTGGCACCTCCAGGGAACCAAATAGTGGCTGTTGAGAGACCTGGGTTCCAGTCCCAGATCTTTTTTTTGGTACTGGGGATCGAACTCAGGTCCTTGCGCTTGTGCAGCAGGCAGTGAAATCACTGAGCTAAATCCCCGGCCCCCAGACCTGCTTGTTTACCAGCTGGGACCTCAGACGATTTACTTGACCTCTGAATCAATTTTCCTCCGTGAAATTAACAGAACTACGACAAGCAGGAGAGTTCTGTGGCTAGAAGCATGGGCAATAGATTAAAATGATCAAGTTTCCAATCCTAACTCCCTCACTTTGCATCTGTGTCTTTTGGGGAAAGTTATTCAATCTTTTTGACCTTCCCTCATTACCACAGTGAGATATACTACATTTCTCTCATTGGATAGTTGTCATTTTAATGACATTTTATGGAAAGCACCTGAGGTGGTATCTGGTGCTTTATGAAGCCAATGAATGGTAGTTGAGACAGCCTGGCCAAGGGATTTGTCCTGAGGTCTTGTGAGACAAATACACCTGTACTTGTTGTGACTGCCCTTGAGGCAGTCAGCTTTCCACTCATACAGAAGGGATAATAAATCTTTTGTGAGAATGTTTTGTAAATTCCAAAGCACTTCAGAATGTTGGGGTGATTATTCCCATTTCCCCCCAAAGCCTAACAGCTCTTACAGGTGCAGCACTGGACTGAGAGGCTGCAAAAGGACAAGAGTTTCTTTGTGCCCTCCAAGGCCACACTGTGTGGCTACTCACTGAGGTGGGAAGAATATCTCAACAAGGATCCAAAAGTGCCCTAAAACTGTGCCAAGAGAATCCACCTGAATGCCATTCCCTGGTTGTGTCCCCCTTGTCAGTGCAAGAAGCATGCACATCAAAGTCTGTCCTTTGACCACCCTCATTTCCTCTCCCTATTGGGCTTTATCAGACTTGTGGAAGAATGGGGGACTCCCCAATGACTCCTTCACCCCACCTCTAGCACACACCACTCTCCAGTCTCGACATTTCCTGGGTCTGTTTATGGGTAGTTGGGAATGAAGAATCCAAGCCTGGTGTCCATCCATCCAGCACCCAGACCAGCATGATTGTGTGTTAAATAAGGGCTCTTTCCCTTGTAGACAGGGAAGCAATCAATATACTACCCTTCATTTCTACTGTGCTCCTCCCACCCTAGATATTTAACAGAACCTCAAGCTGCTGGGAATAGTTATTTATTTATTTATTTATTTATTTATTTATTTATTTATTTGGTACCGGGGATCGAACTCGGGTCCTTGTGCTTGCGCAGCAGGCGGTGAAACC